AGGAAACAAACGTCAGTTTTCAGAAAGAAAAACGAGATACTGATTTGGTTTTTGTTTTTTGTTTGCCTGATTAAATGGAATAATTGAATGATCGGATAATACATGGAACAGATTTGGTTTTCTTAGTTAAATCAAACGTAGCTAATAAAGAATCTTTAATAATATTGATAAAGTAATTTTTTACAGTGTGCCTCCCATGTATATATGTGATATATGTATTCTTACCTGTAAACTGAGGCAGCGTTGTAAGAAATAAAGAAATCCATTTGAACTCAACCATCATGATTCTCTGTGTCTCTTGTAGGAAGTCTCGCTCTATCTAGTTCTCTGTGCCCACTCCAGGGGGACCTGCTAACAGAAAAGTTTTGGTTGCAAGGATCTGGTCCACATTTGTACCAAACGCTTCCCCCCAGGTGTCTCAGTAACCCTCCCTGATCGGAGTGGACAGGCTGGTATGAACTCCTTTTAACCAGTTAGGAGTTTTAATCAGTGTGAGGTGTGGCCCTGTGCTAATGTGTAGCAGAGTGGAATTACTCACCGAGCTCAGGAGGAGGAAGAAACAAGGAAACAATAGGAGACTTTCTCTATGTACCTTTGAGCAACAGGCCCAAAGGAAATTTCTTTAAGAAGAGTTTACACAAAAGCTAAAAAGGTCCCAGTGAAAGAAAAAGAACAGAGGAATGTGTATTATAATACCAAAAGCTACAGCTTACATAGATAAACAGACAGGATGTGACATTATACTTCAGATGCTCAACGCTTGCTGGGATTGGTTGATCTCTAGTGTCCATGCAGACATGTCCTTTTGTGATTGGACGTCCTACACTGTTCACTCAGACAAAGCATGTCAAGTACTCTGTGATTGGATGTTTTCTGGTGTGCATTCAGTCCACGCGTGATCAGGTATCTTTTAATACATGCGGTTAATACATGCCTGTCCGTCTTCCTGCCTTTTCACAGAGGGCCCCATGTATGGCTTCCTTTTGACATTCAGAAATAGCTCCCATCTCACCCACATACCTGCAACGTCCTCTCTACTTAGTCCAAACTAAGTTTTAAAGTGAGCTTAGAAATAAATCATCATGAACTGAATCAATTGATCAGTAAGCACAGCTGATCACATTACAATACATCAATCAATACATCTATCATAAGTAATACACTCGTTAGAGGCAACACACGTTGATACTGTTAGATTTTAAATTTCTTTTTACTTAATAAATCAGTCATCTAATAAATCAGTAAATCAATCATGATTAGGTAAATTTAGTGTCCTCAATCGTTTTCAGTTATTTCACATCCTTCTTTAATCTTACAAACTTCACGTTCATCACTTGTTAATATCTCACACATTTTCATCATAAGCTAAATAAACTCTATGCTATCTGCAGGTTGGAGGCTCACTTCCTGTGAGTCTTTGAATGCAGGCTCTTGTGGTTAAGTAGCAAACTACTATTTGGGGGGGGTGATGGTGCAGTGGACACATGCCTTTAGTGTGAGAGACCCAGGTTCAATCCCCCACGGTGACACGTCCACCAATGTGTCCCTGAGCAAGACACTTAACCCTTAGTTGCTCCAGAGGCGTGCGACTTGACATATAAAGCAATTGTAAGTTTCTCTGGATAAAAGCGTCAGCTAAATGAAAATCTAGAATAGATTGATAGAAAAGAATATTAAAACATCAGAATAATGAATTAAAGTTCACATGTTTTTTTTAACAGTTTCATGTTCGTGGATATACAACACTCTCCTTCTTCTGTCTCTTGTTCTCGTGCTCAGAACTGTCTGAGTTTCTAAACTAGTGCTTTAGTAGAGAGACGCTGCAGCTACTTCCTGTGGTTAGGATGATGTCACTTCCTCATAGTGACTTTTAGTCTGTTTTAGACAAAGGGGGTAAACCAGAGATCAAACAGTGAAGCTGACCAAAGCCTGCATGGATCCATGTACGCCCCAATATGACGTCAAAACCCTGAGACACCCCGTCGCACATGACCAATGTAACTGTGTTGGTTAGATTATAAACTCTCTGTGAATCTAAAGAAACTATTCAGCCATCAGTGACGCTGCGTTGGTGTTTTTCAGGTGAACCTTGTAGGTGGGCAGATTAAACAGTGACAATCACACACTTTTGTTTGTGCAGCTGCTAGAATTACTGTGTTTCTGCCAGTTTCTTCACAGTTATGCTGTGGATCATGCGCTGTAGTAGCTGGTGCCAACAGGAAGTAGCCCTGTAGTATTTCATGGGACCAAAACTGGCTTCACTGCTCTCCATTCAAATCTGCGGGTTGGTAATATACTGTCTATGGTTTTAGATTTCAGTCTCTCTGAATTTATTGTCGATGTCCAAACAGCCAAATACTCTGTTACAATTTTCACAATATGAGATTCAGCCATCAGTAAAGAGCTCAGAGGTCAGAGGTCACAGCAGCCTGACAAAGATCCACCATCTACAAACACATATGATAAAGTCAGTGATCACGAGACAAAGGAATATGTTTCTGCACTGAGCCAAACTAACACTGAAACAAACAAACTATATTAAGGCTCAAGTTCACAGTTTGTTCAGTCCGGTGTATTTGTGACAATGACGTGTTTCACCACCTGAAAAGAAGAAGATGAGGAAGTTGAAGGTGTGAAGATTGTTAGTTAAGATAAATGTTTGCAAAACTGCAACTTCTTATTTAGATGGTGATTTCATTGTATCTTTGCAGGTATTTTTGTTCAGAGATGTGAAGAGGATGTGTTTCAGTGAGGATGTGGTTAACAACAGCAGCAGAGCTCTGCAGGTTTTACCCCCTAATGATGACCAGATAAACATCAGAAACACACGAGGCTCACAGGAACTGACAGTTGACTTTTTATTGGGACATAAGACAAAGAGGCGTTTATTGAATCCTGATGAAAACTACTTTAACTCCTGGAAGGTTTGGGGACCCTGAGACATGTTAAATGAAAGTGAATTAAAATGAGTTCTTCTGTACACAGAGACATGAAACTGAGCTCAAGCTGCTGCAGCTTCAAAAACAAACAGTGAACCTTAAAATCAGGTCTGAAGAGTTAAATGCTCGTTCCTGTTAAATGAAGCTGAAATCCAGCTGCTGTGTTCTGAACTGGCTGCAGAAAATAAAGATTTTCACAACTGATGCAGGAAAAGACATTTTATAAAACTCAAAGCGGGGCGGCTGGGGCTCAGGAGGTACAGCGGGTTACCTGTTAATCGGAAGGTCAGCGGTTCAATCCCCGGCTCCTCTAGGCTGCATGTCAAAGTGTCCTTGGGCAAGATACTGAACCCTGAATTACCTCTGTATGAATGTGTGTGAATCTTAGTTTCTGTTTGAGCCATTAGGCTCAGTGTGTGAATGGTGAATGCAGATGTCATATAAAAGTGCTTTGAGTGGTCAAAAAGACTAGAAAGGTGCTGTACAAATATGGACCATTCACAGTGGACTTCCTGATATGAGATGAAATCAAGACTTAAATATTGTTGTTCAAAGTCAGAATGAAATAGAAACAGCTGAAAAAACACACAAACATTTCTCACACTGATAAATAAAAACAAAAACAGTCAACAAACAAAACCCAAAATGATCTTATGAGATTTTTGTTCTCTAAAGGCTTCAGCTACTCGTGTAAATGTGCTGTTATTTAACTGCAGTGGAGTCTTTTCTCTGATGAGCTGATGTTGATATGGAAGTTGTTGATCAGTGGAGTCTGACAGAGGCAGAAGGGTCTCCATCGTTTTCATAGTTCACCACACCATCATCTTCATCTTCATCATTATTCACCTGTGAAACACAAACAAACCCTCACTCTGGCGCAATGGATAAGACTATGCCTTTGGTGTGAGAGACCTGGGTTCAATCCCCCATTGTGAGCCATCCACCATTGTGTCACTGAGCAAGACACTTAACCCCTAGTTGCTCCAGAGGTGTTTGACCTCTGGCATGTACAGCAATTGTAAGTCGCTTTGGATAAAGCATCAGCTAAATGAATAAATGTAAATTAATGTAACACATGGAGATATGAAATGATCTGAACGCATCGTCAGTGACTGTTACATGTTTCTGCCACTGAGAGAGGAAGTGTTTTTGTGGTAACAAAGGACATAAAGTCAAAGAAAATAAATATATAGTAAATAAAACCAAAAGTAGGCTACCCTAAACTGTCACATGTTCCTCCAGCTGACTGACCAAAACCAAACTATCTGTGTTGTTTAAAGCCGCTAGAGGTTAAGTGAGAATGGCGTCTTTGGAGGCTGTAGTTTGTGTTGGTGTTGTGATTAAATTGTCATGTTTATCTAATGTTTGCATCCATTTAATTTTTTATTGTAATATTCTTTTGTTTAATTTTTATATGCAATGAATCCTTTGAACTTTGCTGCTAAGGCCACTTCAGTACAACTCAGTGAGTCCTGTTTCTGTTTGTCTTCTTCTATCTATATCTACACTTCAGAATGAAGAACAGATGTCACAAACACTGGTTTGGTGTGTAAAGTACCAACTGTAAAAACATTATAAACTCACTGTGTTTTCATCCATCTGTGTTTTTGTCCCTGAAAAGAAAAGAGAAAGAGTCGACTTTAGTTTCCACAGTGAAAATCCAGCTTTATCAAAACTTCCTGTTTCTGAGTTTCATCTGTGAATGTTCTCACCTTTAGTTCTTGTCCAGATGTTGACTGCCACAACAATTATTATGAGTGCTGCTAAACCCACAGACACAATGATGAACCTCCAGAACGATTCTGAAAACATTAGAAACATTTTGACTGCACAGTTCAGTTCTGTTGGAAAGTGTCCTTGGTTGACGTGAATTTTATTATTGATAAAGATTTCATGCCAACACAAATCCAGACCTTTTAAAACTACTTCTATACTTCTAGTTTTCTAAAAAAAAATTGTTCCAGATTTAATCTCACATGTGTAGAGGAGTACCAAACATAGCCGAGTGACAATCATTCATAATGTAGACTTCACAAGGAAAGAGAGAGAGATGTAAGATGTTTAGTCACTACCTTGTTTTGTTTCATCATTTCCAGATGGTGTTTTGTTTTTCCCCTCTAATGTGCTTCCTTTAGATTTTGGTGAATACGATATGAAAGAACACAAGAAGATATGAAAAAATACCTCATGTTAACAAAATGAGAAAGAATAATGTTCTAATCCTAAACATTAAAATTCATCAAATAAAATCAAACCTACCTGTTTTCTCACATGAGGACTGGAGGTCAACGCTACACAGCAGCATCTGGCCACTCTTATTATCTGTCACTTTACACTTCAGTAACTCACAATAGTTTGACTTCTGGCTAAGAGGAGGAGTTGTAAAAACCACAGTGGCTGAACAGGAACCCTGTGATGTCAACATGTTGTTCTTATTACCCTCATACAACCACTCGACTGTGTGTCCACACCTTCCATATGTCAACATAGAGCAGATGAAGCCGACTGTATCATTGTTCTGATATTGTTCAACTGGTGAAGATGGAGATATTGTGAGAGAAAGACAACAAGAGTAAAGTTAACTTCATCACTGTGATCATAATTATTGTAATGTTTCAGTATATTGTTCTAACAAGACAGTTTGAGCTGAAAACATTATGATGGAAATACTTACTGTTAATAACAGACAGAAGAACCAGAGAGTCTGGACCTTGTTGTTGTCCTGATTTCTTGAACTGTCTGCAGGTGTAACGACCAACATCCTCGAATGTGACCTTCTTTATAACCAGAAAACAGTTCTCTGTAACACTCAGTCTGTCAGATTTAGATTTGGAAATCCCATTTTTCCCATGTGTAATCAGCTCTGTTGCTGCTGCCCCAATATCACGACTGACCAACCAGGAAGTACCGTCACAATTATCCTGATTTTGTATCACATTTCCACAATGCAAAGTGACTTCATCTCCAACTCTGACAGTGAAGGAGAGGTTCTGCCCAGTTGCTGCTGTTGAAGATGAGAGATAAATGTAAAAAATGAGCTGTGAGAGGAATATGGCTTTTATATTTATAGTTATGTGTGAGAATAACAAACAGTGTACAGTATGTTCCTTTTACAAGAATCCACTCAACACACCAGGTTCAAAACAAACAGTAAACTTGGCTATCAAACTTTAAGGTTAGCTTCTTAAACACTATTAGTAATGTTTTGTAATGTTTATTTTATGCATGTATGTGTTTTGTGAATTCTTACCTGTAAACTGAAGCACGAGTATCACAAATAAAGACACGTTAATCCATCTGAATCGAACCATCTTGCTTCTCTCTCTCTTGTTCTCACGCCCTCAACTGTCTCTGAACTTGTGCGTCTTGAAGAGAGATGCGGCATCTACTTCCCGTTATTAAAGTGTTACTTCCTTATAGTGACTTGCATCTTTTTTCATTCTTTGTTGTTGAGTCCATCAGTTTTTCTCGTTTTCTTTCTTATAAATATTTTAACAGCAAGAAGAGCAACTGATGTCTTCGAGTTTTCAGCAAAACCAATAATGTGGAGGGAACCAGAGGCTCGTGGTCCAAAATCATGAAACTGGCGGAAAACAAATGTGATGTGGTGATGTAGTGGTTTAAGAATTGTTGGTTCCTCTTTGTAGCTTTGTCATGTTTTCTGAGAACTGAATGAGAAGTATTTTTTGTTAATGTGGTTAACAACAGCAGCTCTGGAAGGTTTACCTTCTAATCAGGCTCTCAGGAACAACCAACCAACACTCTGATGACACATGTTGCTCTCTGGACTCATTAGATTAGAATCAGCTTTATCATTATGCAGAGTACGGGTACACGGCTAATGAAATGTAGTTTGCATCTAACCAGAAGTGCAGAAGTGTTCATACAGATAAGTGCAGGAAGGTAGTACTACAGCATAAGTTATGCTATATCCTAGAATACTCTCTGAGGCCTTTTCAGTGTTTGTTGAGAGACAATGGTGATAATTTAACTTAAATACGGAATAGAGCCTTATAGTTCAGGCAGGTGCCAGTCAGTTTAATATCACGTTACATGCAGCTTCCAGTCACCCATATAAAAGATTTGGTTGATAAATTGTTTCAGAACTGTTCATTATGATGTAATACTCACTGTAAATAACAGAAAAATGAAAGGAAAAGCTGACTGGCTGCTGAGAAGATGTGAGAGAAACATTAAAATTTTAAGAAAGTAAAACACTTGACGTCTTGGTTAAATTTAGGTTAAGTAATAAATACTAATAACTCAACTTTTTTAATGTTTCTGGTAGTTGTCGTGTAAATTGTATCTTGCTGGTGAGGGATTGAGCAAATAATTCAGTGACAACCAACAGTTGTCTTTGAAGAATTTATTAATAAAAGAGAATAAACAGAAGTACTAAAACACATATACAGCTGGTCCAGAGACCTGCCGCCTAGGGTGGCTTCAGGCGTCTGGCCCCGAGCAAAGGGATGCATAATCATTTACTCAGTCTAGGTTTCTATGTTTTGGGGAACAGAGATCCTCTCTCAGCCTTGAATGATCATTCCAGGAGAGGAGAGGAACAACAAGAGAGGAAACACCAAAACAATCTCACGGCTCTGACTTAAACCCTAGTAAATGTGGACGGACTAACATAAGCAGTATAGGAGAGGAAAGGTTAAAAAACAATACATATATCTATAAGACATAACAATATTAGAATAACAATAGTAATAATAATAGTAAAAAACATACATAAAGATTAAATGTAAGAGGACACAATTTTCTGCCACCACAGTAGTCTGATAGATTTTCTATATATTCTTACCAGTTAACTGAAGCACCAGAATCAGAAATAAAAAGACTTTAATCCATCTGAACTCAACCATCATGCCTCTCTGTCTCTCTTTCCTCTCTGCTTCTTCTACTTGTAAATCTACGAGTTGCTTCTTAAAGAAAAAAGTTGTAGCTGTTTCCTCTAATTAGTCATTTGTCACTTCCTCATTGTGACTGACCTTTCTTTTTCTCTCATATGTCAGTTGTTGCTTTAATCAGCTGATCAGCTGAGGCTCCAGCAGAAGAAGAGGAAGCTTTCACGCTGCTGTAGGTCACTGCATCATCTTCATCATCACCATCTTTACCCAGAACCTGGAAAAGAGACAAACAGCACAACACAGAAATTACACAACATTAAATGAGAGAAGTGTTTTCATTCACTGCCATCATCACTAGAACCAATCAGACAGCTTACCCGGCCTTTACTGTTGGTCTTCCTGGTGTAGCTGATGGAGGCGTAGGAAACACCATCTTCAGGATCAGCCTACACAGAGAAGACAACATAATGGCTGCTCAGTAACATGTGGACTTGATTGTGTTCTGGTCTGTTCTGGTGTCGTCCAGCTGCATCATCAGACTCCCCACTTCTTCTCTTGCAGAAAGAACTTAGATTCAAGAGTCACTGTGTGTCTCATAGAGCTACATTTTGAACAACAAATCTAAAAACAGTGAGTGTAACTTTGTCCTGGGTGTAGTGTGAGATCTCACCGTGTCCTGACTGCTTTCTGGACTCACTGCAGGGTTTAAGCTCCGTCCCTGAAAACAACAAACAAACAGAGTCTACTTCCATGTGGTCAAACACTGGCTCTGTGAAGGCTGTTTAGATTTGGATGACTCTGTCAGAGAGCAGCCGATTCAGCTCTGTCATAACTGTAGAAACATTTGATTACTCAGCCGTAAAACTCACAGTGTTTTCATCCATCTGGGTTTTTTTTCCTGAAGAGACAAAAGAGAGTCGACTTTAGCTTCAACAATAAAAATCCAGGTTCATCAAATCTTCTTGTTTATAATATCTGTGGTTGCTCTCACCTTTAGTTTTCTTCCATCTGATAAGAGCAACAACAATAACAACAGTTATTAAGAGTGCTGCAACTCCCACAGACACAATGATGAGCCACAAAGCTGGAAAGAAAAAAAATTGACAGAACAGATTTAGTTTAGATGGTAACACAGGTCCATGCGCATAGGATGTTTTTTTATTAATTCTTGAAGTGTCTATTTTAAGATTCTGCCAGTTAACAGGCTGAAATAATGTACTATGGGGTTTATTTTTAACCCTTTATTATACTTATTGTCAACCTGAACCCAAAAATAAACAGAAAACAGCGTAACTTTTGAAGCAAACAACATACAGAGACCAATGAGTACATTTTTTCCACACAAATCTGATCCAAGGAATTCAGTTAAATGGTTACTGTTAGGATTCACATCTTGACTCTATTTCAGGACAATAGCGAAAATAGCAAAAAAAAGACCACAGCTAAATATTTTCTTTTAATTAACCTCAGAGGGGACAACTTTTGTAAAAACTTTCCCCGTGGTAATTTTACTGCCTTCAGTGACATTAAGGTGGAGCAAAGGGAGAGGGGATCATATCCACACAGTATTTGCGATAAGAGACTCTGAAGCAGCAACTTCACACACAAATACCCTTCATACTGTAGACATTGGAGGTCTTGGTATGGATAAAACTGGGTTCATGGATTAATAGGTAACTTGGATTAGAGATTTAATTCCTTCACCAACACTTAGCAACAACAAATATGTAACGTCTTGTAAAGTTAGCGACAATAAATATGCAACGTCCTGTTGTGTACCAACAGTGTGGATTTGTGCATTTTATATCAAATAATTTGGAGACTCAAAAATCCCTTCCCTCTCTCTCTCTGAGAAAAAGGAGGGGGTAGGAAAGTTTTCTTGGCCTTTTGACATGCAAAAACTAGAGAGATCGCCTGGTGTTTGGTAAGAGTCTGCAGAGACTCAATCAGACATGCATCGCTTACGGATGCCGTAATGGTGTCAATAGACACTTAGCAGGACAGCAAAAGAAGTGTCCAATGCCTCTCCTTCTAGGGTGCCTCAAGACATCAAAGTACCGGATGTTCTGATCCCTTTTCCCTTAGAATGGCTGCGCCACAAAACGCCACTCTCGTCTCTTCTTTTAACTGATGTGCAAACGTGATAAGCCAGGAAGGCGAAAGGGGGCCTTAACAACTCCTACCTTCTTGAGCTAAAACAATGTTTCATTATAAACTGTTGTTCTGTTTAACCAATAATCCTTGCTAAGTCAGTAGTGGCGTTCGCCTCCATTTGAGTAGTTACGTTACCATGTTGTTGTTTAAAGAATCTAAATAAGTTAATTTTTGTGTGTTTTAATTTTCAGCAAGGTTAATGACATTCCTTCATTTTATGTGTAACCAATGCTTTTTCCCAACACTTTCGGACACCTCCTTTAGAAATGATGATAAAGAAATGTCATCCTATACTCGATTAATTTTCCAGCTTGAATTTAAGGTTAAAAATGACTAAATTCTCCAGCTCCTGAGAAGATTGTTTTAGGATTAATCAGAGCTATCGTCATGTAACCCAAGCAAACAAAAGAAGTATTACAGGCTATCGTCTGAAATGTATAAATGTCACTTTATTTACCTGTCCATAATCTAATGCCATTCGTGTATCTTGCTTATATTCTCTAAGAATATGTAACAGCCAATAGCCTATATCCAGAAAGCTAAACTAAACGGACTCTGCCAGTGTGAGGCCGTTTTACCAGCAACCCGGCGGGGAGAAACACAAGCAGTAAGACCAAAACCCTGCACTCTGTGATCAGTGATGTCCCATAGTCTCAGTCCAGTATATTTAATCCTTGAAACTCCTGGACAAATTTAACCGAGTTATCATCTAATTGCGTTCATTAGCTGCCCGTATGAGTCAAATGCTCCACACAATAGAACCCCTTCTCATTGTTTAGCCATTGTTTATTTCTTTGATGTGTCACCTTAGTTAGTTAACAAACTTCACTGTCATCAAGGAATTGTGTGTATTGCCTCTCTCCAAGTCCCTGCCAAGAGAATTTACCCCTTCAATATAAGACTGACTGATTGATTTAAGAAAATTGAGCGATTATTAACTGATCACTGGTGAATAATTGTATAATTATTAAAATGCTACCCAGAGGTCCGGAGACTCTGGGTTATTTAAAACTGCGGTGGTGCCCCGCAAAACGAGAGATTTATGGATTAATATTTTCTGAATATTAAAATTCATAATTTGGTATTAATTCTCATAAATTTATTAAAACAGTGTAGTCATGCTACAGTCCGGTTAGACTTTCAAAATAAAACACTAGCATTTCGAAACATCGCCATTTTGAAACGGCACGTTTTTAAAGTCACGAAACGTTGCACTGTGGTTTAGTTTAGGCAACAAAACTACTGAAATAAAAATTATTAACTATTTGTGATTGAATTGTTATGTCTATTCTTATTTTATAAGATTTATTACAGGTGGATGGGCCCCTGTGAATGTGGTTACCAACTGCCAAGGTCTGCTAAGGGTGTAGCGGTTGTCCCTGTTTTTTGGCTGTAAGATTTTCCTCAGCCATTTTTTCCCCCCTTTTAGTGTTCTGCCAGATGGACAGGGTGGTGGATTGTGGGAACCCCTTTCCCCTTCAATGCATGTGGTGGTGGGTATGACAGCTGTTTATTGTGTGATGTTTGTGTGTGTCTTGCTGTGTCTAGGTGGCTGCACACCAGTGTGAGTGGTGGTGTCAAGGCACCTTGGTGCCCCCCCCCCCAGGTCTGGCCCCTGTTGATGCTGAGGTGTTTGTAACTGTGCTCTTATCCCTTAGCATCTCTGGCAGTATTGGCATCTACATCTTATTTGTAGATAGTTTTTTTTTAATTTTTTATTAATTGTTTAAATAAATCTTCTGGTCAAAACTCATGTCTTCGAATTTTATTAATTGTGGGAAACCCATGGCAACTGGTAATTGAATATTTGGGGATTTGAACCCCTCGGTTACATATCATATGCCTGTGTTTACGGTCAAACTGACGCTACAGGGCTTCCCCCACTGCGTTGAACTATGACACGATAGGGTTCCCTAGTGCGTTACAAACTGTTGCCGATGGGTCTTGACAGTCTATGATTATTGTAGACTCTTTGTTCTGAGGGGGGCCATAGAGCGGTCCAAGGTCTGTGTTACAGGGGCACGGGGGGGAACCGATTGCAGAAAGTAAACATGCATAAACTCTGCATCCATTTTCATTTGCCAACATGGCAAAACTAGTCTATATAGACATATTTCTGCTCCTAAAGATCCAGTCTGGACAAATTGGGACTTATGTTGACCAAACAACGGAATTCAGAGACTGTTGTGCTCATATCATTACAGAGACCTGCCCTATCAACATCCCGGATCAAGCACTCAGGTGGTCCATATTCCGAGCTGTGAGCGCAAGACTCCGGCAAGATGAGGAAGTGAACTGTTTTACATCAATGATGCTTTGTGCACAAACGCAGTCAAGATGGACTCCATCCATCCCAAATATCAGACGGTTTATTGTGCAGATGAAACCATATTATCTGGTTGCTGCTGTTTACCCCAGATGCAAATTCAAAAAATGCACTGTGGAATGTTCGGGGTTTTTACGTGTAGGCCTATGTATATAAATAGCCTAAGGGCCTTTGTCCATCAAAGTGTTTTTTTACCAGCTGAAAACTCCTAGCTGGGAGCGCTAAGCAAGCCCGCATTAATGCAGCGGCTTACTGGGCCTGAAGCCCCGTGCTCGTCTCACGAACAAGCCCGCCCCTGCCAAAGTTGAATTGACTTGAACTTTCTGTAGCCTACGCAACGCGCAGCACAAAAAGAAGATGGATGAGACACTGATCCTCGCCATCTGTGACTTCCCTGAAATATATGTGTTCACTAAACAGTTGGGACATTAACTGGAGGGCGTTTGCATGACTAGATTTATCAGCTATATGAATAATAAAATATAGCTATATATCAACTAACGTTACTTATAGTTTTACTTTAAGCGAGGCTATGGAGGTATACAGTGGCACACAGAAGCCGTTGCCGTGGTTACTATCTATTGACCGCCTTCCGTTTACTTGCGGAGCGCTTGTCTTGGTGTCTGTTCACAAGAGAAGCACAGAGCGACCTCGCGGGGTCAGGTGACTTCGCAGACGGAGTGTCGCTTCCCGTGTGAAAAGGCCTTAAAGCGGTTCTGGCGCGAGGGTGCATTTTTGAGGCGCAGCATTGTTGCAATGATACATAAATCCATGGTTGCAAGTAGTTCTACCCAACTTTACTGGATGTAAAAATGTCAACACAGAGTAGAGGACTTGCTCTGGCCCTTGCTCTGTATGAAGAGACGGCGGAAGCAGGTAGAGACAGAGGACGGACTCGCCGTATGTGGGTTCATGAGATTTTTTGGGCTAGGAAACATCTCGGCGAGTACGTTTGGTCCAAGAGCTGAGGTTAGATCAGCCCTGTTCCAGGATAGTAACCGTTGTAACGGTGTGGTATTTGTCTCGCCTCTCCTCTATTGTGATTGGACAGCTAGGTAAAAAGTGACAGTGACGAGCGCAGCGTCTTTCCCAAAGTTGAACATTTTTGTACTCTACTTTTCCACGAAGCTCAGCGCCTTGACATGCTGCTGGCGTTTTTACCAGCGCTTCCATTGCAAGGAATTAAAAAAAGCACTTTGGTGGACACTAACTGTATATATCTTGTTTTATTTTATATGTTACCATATTTGAATATAGGCCTACACTTGTGTGTAGCATGAAAAAACTACAAATTTAATTTCGTTATGCAGCCTTGTGCTGGATAATGACTAATAAACAACCTTGTATAGACTGGTAACTTTTGGGTAGGCTACATGATCATTAAAAACCAATGGCTTTCAATTATTGTGATAGATATAGCCCTAAACATATATTACAATGGGCCTAATAATATAAAACATTGCCTATAAACATGCATTCTAGACTTATTCTAAAATAGTCTTTTCCTGTGTGATACAGGTCAGTTTTGCAGTCCCTTCAAGAGAGCATGCGGCTCCCACGTGTGTTTGTTGACCCGCAGAGAATCATTTTAGTTATATGCTAATTACATTACATTACATTTACATTTACTGTTTTGGCAGACACTTTTATCCAAAGCGACTTTATTAAGCATATTATTATATTAGATAGGTTGTTCATATTTTGACTGTTTTTCTATTCTCTATCATGATGAAAATCAAGATCAAGCGAGCTTTTGCCCTTCTGTCCTCCCTGAGCTGCCTTCCTGTTTGACAGGCATGCCTCCCGAGTTATTGACTGTTGCAGTAGCGTACTTTGTCTTTCTTTTTATTTCCTCTTCTAAAGTGTAAATTGTATGAACCAAACACCTGGGCAAATTGGCAAACCGTGAAACCTATTTTGGTAATAAAACCTAGGTTCTGATAAATATGAAATATTGTAAATAACAATAAAACATTAAATAGTACAGTACAAATAAATAAAAACAATTTTAAAGAAACAGGCCTACAATGATAGCTTCCAGTGTTTAATTCAAATGGCGTTCACACCAGAAATAAATCGTTCCAGAATTCACTTGACAGCATCCTAGACCACCTCATTGAGACAGAGCAGAGAGCTGTTTGTTTGATACACACCAAAGTTCAAGTCCAGCGTTCACACCAACCCAAACAAACCGCACCAAGGGGTTAAACACTCAGGGTTTGGTTCAACCATAATAAACAAGGTCGGTGTGAAAGTAACCTTAATTTAAGAGGCTTTTTACATTTATTTTTGCCATAAAAATGAAAAAATGTTCTAATAAAAAGTTAAATAATGACATTTAGCCTGGGGAGAGAAAGAGGCTGACAGGAAGACAGAGAGACTCTAGAGAAAGATGAGTTACTACCTTGTAGGTCTACTGAAGGGTCATTGGTTGTTGTTGTGGCTGTAACTGATTTTGTGTTTTCAGTTGTTGTTATTGATGTTGTTGTTGTTTTTGTAGTTGTTTGTGCGTCACCTGCATGAATGAAATATCACAACCCAAGAAACTGTTGATTTAGAAAATCCCTCATGTTTACCATCTGCTGTCACTAAATGAGAAAGAATGATGTCATCTTAAAAAGTCGTCAGCTCAGCATATTCTCACCTGTTTTCTCACCTGAGGACTGAGGGCTGAAGGTGAACAGCTGCACTTTTCCAGAGTAACCATCTGTCACTTCACACTTCAAGTTAGACTTTGATTTGTAACTAAAATGAGAATCCAGGAAAGACACAGCGGCCGAGCAGTCAATCTGCCATGTCTTCATGTCTTTGTTATCTTTGTCCACATCTTTACCCTCATACAGCCACTTCACTGTGTGATCACAGAACTGTTCATGTGTCGACACAGAGCACCACAATGTCACCTTATCAGCGTCCTCCTCTTCAGTCACTGGTGAAGATGGAGATATTGTGAGAGAAAGACAACAAGAGTAAAGTTAACTTCATCACTGTGATCATAATTATTGTAATGTTTCAGTATATTGTTCTAACAAGACAGTTTGAGCTGAAAACATTATGATGGAAATACTCACTGATAATAACAGACAGATGAACATGAGAGTCTGAAATTTGTTGTCCTGATATGAACTGTCTGCAGTCATAACGACCAACATCATCGACTGTGACCTTCTTTATAACCAGAGAACAGTTCTCTGTAACACTCAGTCTGTCTGATTTAGATTTGGTGTTTTCAACAATCTGCCCAAGATTAACCAGCTCTACTGTTGATCTGCTTCCTGAACCAACAAAGAGCCATGTAGTATATTCACATTCTTGCTGACTGTCTATCACATTTTCACAAGGCAAAGTGACGTCATCTCCAACTCTGACAGTGAAGGAGAGGGGAAGTTTTTCAGCTGCTGCTGTTGAGAAAATGATGAAAAATAAAGTGAAATGAGAAAATGTCTGTTATGTTCATAGTTAGTGACGATTATTTCTTTATCCTTAGTTTCCAAGAGTTCACTAAACTCACCGGTCCGTGTATCATCCGATCATTCAATTATTCCATTTAATCTGGCAAACAAAAAACAAAAAAATTAATCAATATTTCATTTTTCTGTTTTTCTATATGAATCAAATATGAAAACTGGCGTTTGTTTCCTTGCTTTCAGCTCAAAATGAGAAATATAATAGACAAGGAAACCAAATCAAAATAATAGGTCGAATTTACGTTTTCTGTATTTTTCTTTATGTGTTTTCCCATTTCTCACTGTGCCGTCCATTCTGATTTGTGCATGTGCAGTGGATGATCTCCAGCCGTGGAACGAGCCTACGAAGCAGTGTCCCTCAGTGGCAAGACTGTATGACTGCATGCTGGAGCCTCTAGTCTCTTGCCCTGGTGCCATCCACAAGCTTCTACGTTGCAAAATAAAAGCTTGTGTCTGGTTTGTGTTTTTGAACTGAATTATAATGGCAATCATGCAAATTAATAAAATACTTAATAAAATATCTGCCAATAAGATAAATGCAGAATATCGTGTTAATCATTAAAAAAAACTTCTATAAGATGATGGTAGACAGACTAAAGATCCATTCTGAGATCATTATTATTTTATTCCAGAAATCTGGTTGAAAGATTGTTTTAAACTTTTAAGTATTATTATCCACTGTTACAGTTACAGTATTAGCGTGTATGTCCATGCTATAGACATACAGGCAAGCATACTGATTGAGATTCAGTCAGCTTGTGTGAAGGCCTGTGGGTGTGCTGGTGATTATCTATATGTCACATGTATAGCTTATTCCTTTTGTTCTTGACATTATACAATGTTCATCCATCCATCCATCCATTGTCAACTGCTTATCCTGTGTACAGGGTCACAGGGGGCTGGAGACACTCCCAGCTGACGTCGGGCAAAAGGCAGGGTACACCCTGGACAGGTAATATAACTAATTACTTTAAAATGCCAGCAACTAGTAATTTTATAATGTATTACATTTTTGGAAGTAACTTGCCCAAAACTGATCCTGTGTATGTGCCATCCCAGTGACACATAGACACACACACACACACACACACACACACACACACACACACACAGCTCTGATACAGTGTTTAGATTTCTTTTGTTTCAGACAGTCTTTTTTGTTAGCAACAAGTGACTTACTCAGCACAGTAGGCTATACAGTAGGCCTATACGCGACATGTCATTTTTTAAAAGACAAAAGGTGTATTCCTTAGGTCAAACTCTGCTACAATAAATTTCTAGAGGTAACGTTGATATTTGCTAACAAACGTCATATTTAAATATATGTTAACATCCCACGTATCAGTAGTTTAACACTACTTTGAAGAAATATTCAATGATAAAATGTATAAGTGGGAGGTCTGGGTGTCCTCCCCAGAAGATTTTGAGCATTAATTAATTTCCTGCATTCTGGAGAAATTTTCTGCACCAATTTATGGAGTAAATGTCTTTACTTACAACAATAAAAGGGAATATAATGCAGTAATCAGTAGATTTTTTTGTTGCTTAAGTAACTTTCTTGGACAATGCACATTTGTTTCTTCTATATTTAAATTGCATTGCATGTTTTCTTATTGTGCAAATAAACCTTTCTCAAAGCTTTTTCATTTGTAATTTAACATTTCTTATTCCAAACTATTTCTCAGAGCATATTTAACCAGTTATGCTTTCAAAAAGTGATGGGGGCATGTCCCCAGCCAACCTAGTGTAAATGACACCAATGGTAACAGATTTGTAACATTTGCTCAAGAGTTTTTTAAGAGCAAACGTTTATAACAAATTCACATACGCAGTTAAAACAATGGCTGTCCATCTGAGTATGTTGTAAAGTCTGTCTGCTCTCTGTCTGTTTTTCTGCTGTTTCTGTTTTTTATCTGCAGTTTATTACAACCCGAACATTTTTGTGTGACTGTTTTCTTGATCATTTCTCTCTGTGTTTCCCTGCAAAATGCTTAAATGGGTCACCAAATATAGTTGGGTGGCCGTTAATGTACCTCAATGGCCGCCCAAGTTAGCCGATTTTATTAATATCAATCTGACCGGCCCACACCAAAACAAATAGTCCCTCTGGCACATGTCAGTATTGCCAGGTGGCCAACCCGCCCCTGTATGGCCAAAATCGTTGATTTAAAAGTTTTTTTAATTGATTGCAACAGACTTGCTTATGAACTTACCCGTGACTCCGACTCTTTCTCCTTCTGCTGCTGCTTCTTCTCTTGATTAATGGCAGGTTGCAAACATATAATTTGCGACCCTTGATAGGCTACTACATTTAAAACGATATTTCTACCAGATTGCTTTAATACAATATAATAACGATCATAGAATGGATCTTAAGTCTGTACTGTGTAGGCCTATCTTATAGATGAAGTATTTTTATTCATTAGCATGATTGCTTGAACCAGGCGCAACTATCTGTGACATTTGCAGAATAATATTTGGAAATATATTAGGCGTGAGAATATAATTGCAATCTAATGAGAATGGAGTCATAATATTTTAACAAAATCTACCTGCCCTTCTGCTGTGCATTAACCTGTGTTCTGCTGATATGGTAGCCTAGTGGTTATCCCCTATTATCTGACAGACACAGAGTCGCCTGGGACCGTACTGGAGGTAGAAAACTGAAACACATAAATCTCACAAGCCTACACATCTATATAAATGTTAACTATAGCACCTCTGATAAAGTGCAGCTCACAGTCGCTTCAGAAGGAAGCATCCTGGAACAGAGAGACTGTCCCAAACAGAGCAAAGTGTCTCTGAGCGGTGAGAATGACAGAGACACAGAGCGACATGTGTCTGTGTCTCGGTCAGGTGTGTCATGTTATTCTCTCACTACTTTGCGGCGGACTAAACCTGTTAAAAACAGGCCCCTTTTTCCAGAAAAAAACGGCTAAAATTACATACCCAAAATGAATCAGGAATAACTCCTTAACCATTTGGCCTAGATGCATAATTCTGGTCTCCTTTGAAAAGTCAGAAGCTAAGGAATATAAATCCATTGTGTATTATTCTATTTATTTTACTTTTACAGACTACATGGAGATGCAATAAAGAAAAAATCTGATTTTTTTTATCCTCGCCTGGTAAAAAAACGCTATATTTTAATACAATAAACCATCAAAACCATCCTGAGGAAGCTTTTAATGCAACTGAATATCTTCTAATACACCTACAATGCACTTGTAACTGTAAATCTGATGAAAAAAAACCAAAATACTACAGTTATCGAACAATATTTTCAAATATACCAGGCGAATTTCCATATTTTGGCAATATTTATTGTTAAAATGCTGACTTTTATTGATAGATATCTTTAAAATACTTTTTCAGTCCATACAACCAATTTCCAAATGACAAAATTGAAATATTGATAAAAACAGGAGTATTCATCAACATTCCTGTCACCAAAAGCACTCCAAAGCTTTACAGGCCTTTAGATTGAGAACGGAACATCAGCGATGGGGGGGGGGGTATCAATCGAGCAGACCTTTCATTTGATACCCTGCATGTCTATATATCTCCAACGGATCGGCCACAAAATCAAACCCTTGCCTCAAAACCATTTGATCTGGGTTGAATGACAGTAGAGAACCTGTCCCTTACTTATAGCTTGGTCAAAGTGTGACATCGCCACTACGCTCGCCAGGGACTTGAGCACATTTTGCTTTGATCACATCATTACAGTTTTTTTTCAATTGCTAAAACACAATTTCTGAAACCTTGCTCCAATTTTCTGAAAACATGAAACACAAAACCTCAGCTTCAAGCATTATTTACAAAACCTCTGACTCCTCGTGCAAAATGAAACTTTCGCCTCAAAACAGTTTTACCTGTGCTCAAAACCAAACACTGCTCTCAAATCATAAACAAAGCAATCAAAATGATATAGACTATCAAGAACATATAGTTCTCAGAGAGAAGTACATTTTTAATCTCAAAACAAATTTCATAGTTGTCCGTCATTGATTTAATTTGATGAAGGAAAACATGTTCTATCATAGTGGCTCAAAATTAATCAGAAATTATAGTCTGCTTTTCTCTTTGCAATTTTTTTGTTCCTTGTAACCCTATTTTTACAGTTCTGTCTCTCACAACCTTGTCCTTTGTTTCTTGTACTGTAATTCTTGTTCTTTGTTGATATGAACCTGCAACCAGTCAAAATCTATTGAGCAATCAGTACTGTAAACAAATGGAAAGCACAATGTTCAGGGCCGGACAATTTGCTCTCTGAACTGGCTTAGATTGATTGTGTCACATGATTTGAAACAAGTGAAATGAATTTTGAAGGTTGTGTTTAATCAATGACGTGTGTTCTCTATTTGTATTTGATTGTTGCCACTTGTGTTTACCAGTATGGAAGACATGTGCATTAGAGTGCAGAATGTGTTTTGAGAATGAGAATATGTTTAGAGTTCTGCTGAAAAGTCTAAGTGAGATCTGCAAATTGTGTTTTACCATGTGAAATGGTAGTGACAACAGACTGCACAATTAGCTAAATGAGTTCAGGCAACTGCAGACTTTGTTCAGCCAATGGGTTTTAGTGTTTTAGCAACTGAGAAAAACTGTAGAAAGTGTGCAGAATTGTGAGATGTTGCGTGAAAGATGACAGCTGTGTTGTAGTTGTGTTTAACTTTTGCCACATGTATTTACCATTTTGCAACAAAAGTGCATCACAGTGCAAAATGTGTTTTAGTGAGTGAGAATGTGTTTAGAGTTTTGCAAAAAGAGTGGATGAGATTTGCAAACAATGTTTTAACTACCTGAACTTGTTTAAGGTTTTGCCAAAATAGTGACTGATTCGACAAATGGGTTTAGGCCATTGAACACTGGGTTCAGAGAATGGGGTTTAGTGTTTTAGCAATTGTGAAAAACTGTATTGCGAGT